GTGCCTTTGTGCAGAGTAAGGAGCAGCTTATGTGGCCTCGGGCAGTGCCCATCCACCCGGCCCTTTGCACAGGGTCGTTCCTGGCAGAGCCAGGTTTCCCCCCTTGCCCCAACACGGCACCCCCTGATCTGCTCTTTTCCCAGTGCGGGCCTTGCCAGCAGCTGGGATGGCCGCCCTGCGCCTCCCTGTGCCGCAGCCGGCCATGGCCCTGGTGAAGGTCTGCCAAATACTCTGGAAATTTCTGGAAGGGCAGAAGTGCTATTTAAGCAGCAGGCCCTTCCCGACGGTGCGCACCAGCACCAGCACCGAGGAGGCAGCAACCTGGCTCATGGGCAAGGGGAAATCCTCGCCATGGATGGGCTTTTCCAATTTCTCTGTAGTTCCCCCCAGGTTCTGCGAAAGCAAATGGCCAGGTAAACAGTATTTTAAAATATCGGCTCTGGTTGCTCGCAAGGGTGCAAAAGGATGCCAGAAAACAAGGTTTCTGCTAGGAAATAAAATGGGAAGGGCAGCGGCGTGTCGATTGCGCAATATAAACCGGGGGCTTTGCGAGGGCTGCGCAGGAAGCCATTGCTCGGGCTGTTAATGAGTAACGGCGAGCGTTAATGAGTAACGCAGAGGGCTGGCAGCGGCCTGGCGCCCGGCGGGGGGCTGGAGGACCGGGCGCTGTTCCTGGCTCTGCAGCGGGCAGGCGGGGGGTCCCGGGGAGGAGGCACTGCCATCCCGCTTCTCCGTTCCGCTGTCTATAAAATGGGGACACGCAGCCGGCAGCATGAAAAGCTTTGAGCTCAGCCTTTTGAAAGTGCTTGAGGTTTTTCCCTCTGGCACTCAATGTGTGGTGAAGCTCCCCGCCTGAGCTCTAGGTTTCACCAAAAGCTGGGACATCATAATGCTTAGGTTCGTGTAAGAAAGCGGTGAATTTCATTTTGTATTTTGCCACTTCTAAACACACTCATTTTATTAGGAAAGATTTGAAATACACCTCTTGACCCGAGCATCCTTAGACTTCCAGGGTGTTTGCAATCTAAGGCGAGCTCAGAGTGCACGTTTTTCAAATAAGCCTTTAAAACAGTTTAAACCTCAGCTTCATGGGCTGTTAGATCCTCCCCTAACTGTTCTGCAGCTTTCTTAAATGTGCCAACAACTATTGCTGTGCATGAGGGCCAGGTAAGTCTCCAGTCTGAATGGCCGCTCTTCAGCCCAAGTCAGGCAGCCACGCAGTCCCTGGGATGGGTGTGTTGTCAGAGCCTTGTGTCAATTACTGAGAAATTGTAAAAATAATATAAAAAGAAATCTAGAGTACCTCCACTTCAGAGAAATCTGGGCTCAGGGTTTTGACTGGAACATCATCTCTTCCTTTAAAAGCTCTGACCAAATTATTGAGCTGATAAGCGATTCCCCTTGGTTTTACATGTGCTGGCATGAATTATCCTTGAGTGCTGCATATTAGGGTTGTTTTGTACTAAAAGGTGTTAAACACTTGTAATAAATATTTTTCCTTATTTCCCCTAGGACACAGTTCCATCTCTGGTTGGTGAAGCATAAAAAAGAGCTGTCATGCCCAGTTTTAATAGGCAATAGGATTTCAAGCCCCCAGAGTTGTTTCACAGTCTGGCAGTGGCCATAATGAAACTGGCCACTGTTGCCACAAGACTTTTTCCTCTCATGCGTTCTCCCCTGTTACCTCCCACAGCTGCTTGACTGGCAGGTCTCTTGCAAACTGAAAACATATTTACATTGGAGCCGGTAGTATTTCTTTAGCTATCTGTGCCATCTTTCTCTCTTTTTTTTTTATTTCCTTTGCCTAGCTAAAGACTCAACCTTAAGTCTAATTTTAAAGAATAAAATTAAACTGTGCATGCAATTAACTGCCTTTGAGTGCGAACAGCAGTTCATTTTCATGTGTTTTGTTGTGAAGCAAATAGCTTGTTTGTTTGTTTGTTTTTTCACACTGATTCCCAAATAAATGGGAAAGTACCACTATTCACTCGCCCAGGATTTATTCATGAAAACGCAATCACAGCCTCCCAGATGAGCGAGGTGGGGGGGTCCTTTCTCTGCACAAGAGTCAGTGTCTCACTTTGCTCTGCAGCTCTGGAAAGAGCCAGGCTAACCTAAGCCAGCAAGAATTCATTTGAGTGTCTAAAAAAAAATTTAATATGTAAATAAAATATACCACTTTCACCTCTTTGAGGTATATGTATGCTAGTGATACTAATAAGCGGTACGCAAAAATGAGCATTGTAGCAAGTGATGGATTTTCTGCACCCACCCACCCAATCAATCAGGCTTTAATAGGCAGCTTCTCCAAATGCCCCTGCCCCCTGAAAAGCTGGGAGAACAGGCAGGCCTTGCAACGCGCCCGGAGGGTCACAGACTTGGACCACGCAGGGAAACAACCTTTCCCCCCCT